GAGTATCCCTTCACCTGATTTAGGAGTATCCCTTCACTTGATTTAAGAGTATCCCTTCACCTGATTTAGGAGTATCCATTACCTGATTTAGGAGTATCCCTTCAAATGATTTAGGAGTATCCCTTCACCTGATTTAGGAGTATCCCTTCACCTGATTTAGGAGTATCCCTTCACCTGATATAGGAGTATCCCTTCACTTGATTTAGGAGTATCCCTTCACCTGATTTAGGAGTATCCATTCACCTGATTTAGGAGTATCCCTTCACCTGATTTAGGAGTATCCATTCACCTGATTTAGGAGTATCCCTTTACCTGATTTAAGAGTATCCATTACCTGATTTAGGAGTATCCTTCACCTKATTTAAGAGTATCCATTACCTGATTTAGGAGTATCCCTTACCTTTTCTAATTGGTAATCGATAATTAATTAATCGATGTCTATTGAATCGATAAAAGTATTAGATAGATTTGATTCCGTAATTCTAATCGCATATTTATCATTGGATCTTTAATCTTTATCCACTTAATGTTCGCGCGGGAATATAGTAAACACAATTAGAATTAATTTYAATTCTTTTCARAGCTGTGAGCTTTTCGAAAACGGATTCACGGTCCAATCAACGGAAACAATTAAAAAACAGATTCAATATTTTTGGCATTACATTTTGTCTATGAATTTGCGGTTTGGACATTTGAAWTTTTTTTTATCCAAATGCGCGCCTTCGTCGATTCCCGCTATTTTTACATCACGGTCTCCCTYATTACTTATGACAATTCTCAGTTCTTCTGAAGGAATTACGTACAGTCTTATTTCGAAACCAACGGTATTATATGCTGASTTTTAACAATGTTGTGTTTCCTGGCTGTCCAAATCAGTTTTCACTTCATTGAGTTTTATTTACGTGCTAGGCAATTGAAAAATGTGGTTCTTTAGGAAGATAAACAAGATCAAATGTGTCCACGGTTTCCGCACAGACATTTCTTTTATAACGTTGCYTTAGTGAGTTCCTTTGTTTTAGAATTGTAATATGAGGATTTTGTCTATTCGTAAGTTCTTACCGTAGCTGGTGGGTTAGTCTTCTTTCATTCACTTGAAAACATTTGCCCCCCCCCCCCCCCCATAACTGAGAAAATTGGGAGAGTGGAAGTAAGAATAAGGAGATTCAATCAATGAACCACAGACACAAAACTGAAGATTTAAGAGACACTTTAGTTAAGTTACAAAATGACTAACAGCGTCTTTGCAATATCAAGTGACAACATGTTGCTACACCTGAACAGCATACAATTCCCACYAWAAAAAATATCTTTAACATGATTAACTTCAGTTGTCAGATAAAAAAGAGTCTACAAGTGTCAATAACAAATAAASCAAATGGATGGTTTCACGAATGGCTGGGCTGATRGGTGGCTCAGTAGTCCAACATGCTCAGACCACGAGTCTTGATCTTGACGCAAATTGGTTCAGTACAGAAGCAGCGYCCGTTGTCAACAGGGATCATCTTTTTTGATTCTACTYCTCCAGCGCCACACCTTATCCTGGAGACGCCGCACAGATCTACGCACMMATATCSACCTCCTGGCTTACATTCACAACGACCATCGCAATTTTTGCTGATAAATTTTTGTCCTACTCTGTACGTCTTGCCATCAACTCTACACACACCTGAGAAATATARTTGAAAAATATAGCTATGAGGGTTCATTGTACAGGCTTAAAATRTCTGTCAACTTTAGTTTCAAAGGCACTTACAAAAAAAAGTCCTAGACGTAAAGAATGTGAAAGTACAGATTTTTATGAAGTAACCTACGTCATTATATTACT